TATGTTGTGCAGCCATGCACTATATAATGACATAGGTCGCTCAATGACAGATGGCATTTACAGTGGTGGTCCCATGAGATTATAATATCTATACATATAGCCTAGGTGTGCAGTAGGCTATGCTATCTAATTTTGTGTAAGTACACTCTATGATGTTCACACAATGATGAAATCACCTAATGACTCATTTCTCAGAACATATCCCCATTGTTAAGCAATGCATGACTGTACTAAAAACTTCAAACTGGTCTGCACACATCTTGAGTAACACATTTTTTGGTAGAGCTGTAGTTCATAAGAGGCTTCCATAGGTGATACAGTATACTCTTAGTCACCATAAAAGACTGACCAGTGAGATGACTCAGGTTTAGAGGCTTAATTCTAAGTGACCTAACAGAATGCATAGTTCCATCATTATTTTTATAAACTTATCTTTATTCATTAATGTGGCACAGTAGTAAAGAAAAAAAGGACCATTGCTATGATTGGTTTTTTTTTTTTAACCTAGGTGAAATTCACATAACATACAATTAACCATTTCGAATCATACAATTCAGTGGCACAGTATATTAGCAGTGTTGGTCAACTATCACCTCTTTCCAGTTACAAAACTTTTTTATTGCCCCAGAAGAACATCCCATTATAATTAAGTAATCAGCCCTCATATCCCCCTGCCTCAGCCCCCTGCAACCATTAATCTACCTTCTGTTTTTATGAATTTGCCTATTGTAGACATTTTATGTAAAAGGAAGCATATAATATGTGAATTTTGTGTCTGGCTTTTCACTTAATGTAATGTTTTCAAGGTTCATACAAATTGTAACATGTTTCCGTACTTCATTTATTTTTATGGCTGATAATATTCCATTGTATGTATCTATTTTTTCATTTATTTAGGTTTTTAATATCTCTGACTAGTATTTTAGAGTTTTCAGCTGTTTCAGTTATATGTATATGTTTTCTTAGATTTATCTCTAAGTACTTCATGTTTCTGATATAAATAGAACTGTTTTTTAAATTTTAAATT